GATCTGTGAAACAATTACCCATATGTTATAAATAATAAAACTAAACAAACTTACTAATAAATTAAATTGAAAACAAAATCAACCTCATCAAGACGCATTACAGTAATATACAATTGCAGCTATGGGATGTTTATCACATGTGATAAACATCAAAATTCTCAATTACAAAGATACCACTATTATAAACATTGATTTGGTGTTACAAATTGAATATGAAATTGACCAGCTTGATTACAATATAGTTGTTATTTCTCACTTGCTGATTTACGTTATTTACTAGCATCAATCATATGTCTATTAGACAACAAAATTCTACATTTGCATTTTCGACTCTTCATCACTAGCTACACACCACTTTAAGAGATTCAAAAGTAGTTTGAGTTGAGATTTGCTAGCAATTAACTTGTTTTTGATCAAATCATATATATCAATCACATTTATCACACATTATCACATTTCCTAGGAACACTGATAATTGTTTGGATCGATATGCCCAGATAATGTTTCTGTTATATGATTTGAGCGATCAATATGTTGTGAGCTGGTAACACGAAAATTATCTGTGAAGCATTACATAACATACAATTGCAGCTATGGGATGTTTATCACATGTGATAAACATCAAAATACTCAATTACAAAACTACAATAACATTAAACTCAAATCAACATATACCAATAACTATAAATGGACAAAAAATGTTGACATTCACAATTTCATGTACCTTTTTTTATCACATGTGATAAAAAGCTCCATATCATTCAAACTTGAAAATTGATGGCATATTTTAATGTTATCACACTATTATCGTACCTTCCTCTTCCTCATCATTATCAGAATTGTTTTCAAAAAAACTGTCTTCAAAAAAACAATTTTCAGAAAAGCACTCGGAATCATCGTTCGAATAACTCGATCATGTACAAACTTCCTTACCAACAACATTCAAGTCCTCCATTCTAGATCAACAAAAATATGGATACTATGAACAATCTGAAGAAAAGGAGATAAGAGAGTCGAATGTGAAGATACTATGAACGATCTGAAGAAAAGAAGATAAGAAAACCAACCAGAGAAGAGAGTGGAAACGAACGTGACCAATCCAGGAAAAAAAGGATAATTATAATTAATTAAAATAAAATAAAATTTACAAAAATTACTTAATTACATTACTGCCCTTATTAATTTATTTATATGTAGCATAAGTTAATTTATTAATTAAAAAAGTTTGAGGTTATTGAGTTGTTCTCGCATTCTCGTAAATTACGGGGGTTCTCTTTTGAACCTCCACCTATATATAAATAAATAAATATATATATATATATACCTATATATACATATACCTATATATACATATACATATATACATATACTAGTTGTGTACCCACACAATGTGGCGGGGTATAAATTTTATATAAATGTAAGCGAGAATATCGATTGACGATTACCACAAATAAACACATGATTGTCATAGAAAGACCAAGCAAAATGGAAAACGTTTTTCCTTTCAGTTTGAATATGAATGTGTTATTTTGAACGAATATAAATATATTTTTGGCAAAAAAAAAAAATCTTTTAGAGCCGGCATGTTAACCTTGACAACATCAGCAAGTGATAGCTCAAAGCTGAAACCTGCCTCTTCAGTGATAGCTGAAAGTTGTCATGATAAGCTGAAAACACAAGTTGAAGGCTGTCAGCAATAAGCTGTCAGATTAGCTGAAGGCTGTCAGTAATAAGCTATCAGAAGCTGGAGAGTGTCAGTGATAGCTGAAAGCTGCCTCTTCAGTAATAGTTGAAAGCTGTCACGATAAGCTGAAAACACAAGCTGAAGACTGCCAGCAATAAGCTGTCAGATTAGCTGAAGGCTGTCACGATAAGCTGAAAACACAAGTTGAAGGTTGTCAACAATAAGCTGTCAGATTAGCTTAAGGCTGTCAGCAATAGGCTGTCAGATTAGCTGCAGATTGTCAGTGATGAGCTATCAGCGATAGAGTACCTTAAGATTATAATGCATGCTACTAACCCTTTTTGCACAAAGATATAAACATGACAATTTTTATCGATTTTGAAATTAAAACAAATCTGTTTGACTCTTGAAAGAAAAAAATAAACGCTTATTGTAGGATGGAGATGATAAAGAATGTAAAATTTGCATGTCTTAATGATCTGAAGAGCTAGAAAAGCATTTCATATGACTATTAGAGCCGTAAGCATTTTCCAGCATAAGTTAAACCAAAAACTTTGCTGCAAATTTCAATAGAAAAAAGATTTAGACGTAAAGAAAATGACTTAACTGAAAAGGAAAAACATTATAGTTATCAATGGTCACCATTTGTGTCTTCTCCTCTTTAGAAATCAGTGGCTCTATGTCAATCAGCACTAAGAACAAAAAAACATACAAACAAAGAACAAGTTAACAAAACGATTCCAAATTCGAAAACTTGCACTTTAAATGCTTATTATTGTAGTATAGATATAGATGAAAGAATTGTAATAACAATGTTTCTCTATTACTTTTCTACCTCTTTATTCCACTTTATTTGCCATTGATGCTCTGATTGTGTTATATAACATTAAAATAAAAATAAAAAATTGAGCTGGGAATGATGGCTTTTCATAACTATGAAATCGAACCCACAACCATTAATGATATGATTCTGATGCTCCTCCAGGAAACTCTTCCCTGGAAAACAAATAAACATCTTGCGTCTGTTCTCGAATAAAACGGTTCTTCTTATTAATCCAAGAAAACTTTATACAAGGAATAATGGGTAAAAAAAACTTACCGACAACAAGATTGACATATACCCGCTAGACGAGTTCTCCGATGGCAAAATATATGACGGTGCATTTGTTCCGGTGTTGTTGCTGCTGGAACTGGAAATCCTTGAGAATCCGAGATTGTAAGCTGGAGTTCCGACCTCATCTTCGTCTCCCTTGGACGGCCAACCCGTTTTCGATATCTGAACCGACAGAGTCTTGTAGCCTAAAGAACCCAGAGCTGTGTACACAGCATCGATCTGAGCAAACAAATTGTTGCCGGAATCATCAATTTCGTCGGCGGGCTAAAACAAAATATTGCCCAACTAATGTAAAACTGAAAAACGAGAAAATGTTTTTTATTTGATTTTGACAACACCATCGAAAATTGTTCATATGGAACTAGAGAAGGGATGATGAAAGGAGAAGAATACCGAAAATATGCAAACTTTGAGGGTTTAGGAAACCCTAAATTAGAGATTTTACCGAAAATATAAAAGCTTTTGCTCTAGGGGGAAAGCCCAAATTGGGAAATAAATAACTTTGAACTTGGAAGAAATTGAAAAAGTAAAGTTGAACATGAAAGATTTTGATGATGGAGCATTGAAGAGTTGTACCTCATGCATATGAAGTTGTGATTAAGAGATTTTTGAAATCTTTGTATTAAATAGCAGTACCTTGTGTGTTAAAGACTTGTATTTAAGACTTTGGCTTAAATGCTTATTAATGTTGTATAGATATAAAATAATATCTTAAATCATAGTATCTGATGAATAAATTATATAAAAAAATACTTTAAAACCATTATCTACAAATTTACGATTTTTTTATGATTTTTATTTAATCATGATTCCCCCATTGTATACATGTACATTGCATTTGTGTTTATTGCACACACGTATTTCATTCTCAGAAAAAGCGTGGGTCATGCTGTAAAATATGTTTTATTCAAATTAAATGTATGTACAATAATAAATTCAGATCTTAAAAATATAATCGATCATAAATGAATTAATATAATAAATAAATAAATAAAATTATAGAACCTCATCACCTTACCAACTACCAGCTATGTATTTGCAATAAAAATTAGGGGCCAAAGTCAACCATTCACCCCTCCCTCTATTATTCCAAAATCATGTCCCTTTGACCCATCACAAGTCAACATCTACCAAGAGAAGGTTTTTTAAGTCATTTATATAAACTATCATCAATATTGGGTTTCGTTTAAAATGAGAGCTAATAGTGTAAAAATTGATTTTCATTCTTGAATGCACATTAGAATGAGATGCACCATATCGAACACGACTCACAGGTGGGACTAGGGTGAAACCATATAAGACGAAGGTGAAAATGGAAAATTTAAGCTAGTCAACAAAATGTTTTTGTTTTTTTGACAGGGGGCTTTCCCCCCGGTATTTAAAGCTTAGATCCGCCCCTAAATCTAGTCACTTTTTACGTTTTTCATCTTAACTATCTTTTTCACGTCGATCCTTTGCTTATTGACTTATATGTAAACATTAAATTTAAGTAAAAAGTGGGATTTTTTGTAATTCACTTTTATAGTGAAGTTTTATGAAGATTTTTAGTTTCATGAGTTAATAAAATGCAAAAAGGAAAGTTATTGAATATTATCATCCATTAAACAAGAGGGTTATAGCATTTTATTATGATAAACAAACATTATTCTATAAATAAACTCTAAAAAAACATTCTAATAATCATTTATGTTTATAAGGAACTAAAGATGTTTCTAGGTATCTATATGTGTGCACATATTATGCATATATGCATACAAACGTCTTCAATTTTTTGTATGTATATATACAAAATGGTTATTAGGATGCTACTTAATTCTTTTACATTTTTTTCTAATGAATTTGACACACTCTCTCTCTATATATATATATATATAAAAAGGAAGATCATGCGATGTGATACACACAACTAAAAGGATGTTGGTGAGTTGGGCGTCAAGACTTACCATGTTCATATAATTATATTACATGTGAAATCCCATGTAATTTGACTTAATTTTATAAGCTAGCCGTCAGCTTAATGTGTGTATATATAATTTGAAAATGACGGAATAACTGTGACTGGGCAAGATTTTAAAAATCCCATAAAGCATCTCGCCTACAAAACAACAATCCTTTGACTTTTGAAATCAATCAAATTTGGTCTGCAGATTGCAAGGATTCAAGAGATGAAGTAAAAAAGAAGCCATTCTTGTTGCTACGACCATGGCTGTTCTTCATTTCATCATCATCGTCTTCTCTTTAACTTTCCTTCAATTTCTCTTGTTCAATCCAGCACTTTCACTTCCTCTCTGCACAGATTCAAGTAAGTTTTGTTCTTTAACAATTTCCCCAAAATCCCATTTGAAATCTGCAACTTCTGTTTATATATAGTTTTTATGTTGATGATCTTGAATAGGAGCACCGATTAAGCCCAAGACTCCTCTGGCTTTCTGTCCTTATAATCACTCGTCATGCTGCGATTCGATCCAAGATTCGAATATACAGAAACAATTTGAATCAATGAATGTATCTCAGCCTGGCTGTGCTTCTGTTCTCAAATCGATCCTTTGCTCGGTATCATCAGCTTTTATCGACTTTTAGATCACAAACTGCCCGTTAGAGTCACAAAAATGGTGTTTTGCATTCGTTATCGACCAACTCAGCTGGTCGCTACTACAACAAAATTGGGACTTTGTAGGATGCAAAAAATAAGAAAGCTTTGATTATAGGACCAAAAACATCAAACGTTAGCTATAAGTTTATAAGATATTTTTAACACCATATGTTTACAACAATTTTGAAATAAAGTGTTTTATTACTATTTTATATGATATTATTTGAAAAAAACTAATACAACATTTTATTTCAAAAGTGTTCTAAAACGCCTTGATATGCTCAAAAATGTCATATGAACTTATTGTAATACTTATATATAACAGTTGGAATGTTTTAGCGTTGTATAAACCCGAGGATCAAGACGTTGAAAATCAGGACTTATGATCGTTAACTTTTCGATTTTTCAGCTATGCGATCCATTTTCGGCAGAATTATTCACGATCATGGAAGGTCGTCGGCAAGTTCCGGTGCTATGCAACTCAACGGTTGGATCAGACTCATCGCAAACTAGCCAGGCCACAAACAACTTCTGTGAAACCGTATGGGATTCGTGTCAAAATGTGTCGATAAAGAACTCACCATTTTCGCCATTGTTACAAGGCCAAGCGCCACCACCAGCCAACGCCACCAGCAAACTGATCGACATTTGGCCATCAAGAACCGATTTCTGCACCATTGCCGGTGGATCTTCAACCGATGGTTCTGTTTGCTTTACCGGCGAAAAAGTTAACTTCAATGGTACCACAAACAACACTAATACTTCCCCAAAAGGGATGTGTTTAGAGAGGATCGGTAACGAAACCTTCATCGATATGGTTCCTCATAACGATGGTTCGAACCGTGCTTTTTTCGCGAACCAGAAGGGTCAGATCTGGCTAGCCACCATTCCTGAAATTGGTTCTGGAGCTCTATTAAACATCAATGAGTCAAACCCGTATCTCGATCTAACTGATGAGGTTCATTTCGACACTGCAACCGGATTGATGTCCATAGCAATCCATCCGAATTTCACGCAAAATGGACGGTTTTTCGCTTCATTCAACTGCGATAAATCTGAGTGGCCTGGCTGTGCCGGAAGGTGTGCTTGTAACTCTGATGTGAACTGTGATCCTTCAAAATTAGAACACGAAAACGGAGCTCAACCATGCCAGTATCAAACCGTCATAGCCGAATACAACACAGTAACTTATCTTTTCGTGTTATCATTTTTTGACCATAGATTACAACAAAATCGGGTTTACAGTGCACCAAAAATATCCTTTAAGAACAATTTGAGAAACTAATAGTTCATTTTATCTCAAGTGTTGTAAAAAACTTATTAAAACGATCAAAAAAAGGCATATAAATTTATAGTAACACTTGGACATTTTTGGCCTCCTATAAGCGCGATTTTGTTGTAGTGAATGTTGTGTTTTCTAATGCTAACTTTTCGCCAGATTCCTAGCATTTCCACAGCAGAAGCAAGAAGAATCTTCACGATGGGTCTCCCTTATACCGGTCACCATGGCGGTCAGATTCTTTTTGGACCCGATGACGGGTACCTATACTTCATGATGGGCGATGGCGGAGGCACGGCCGATCCTCAAAATTTTGCCCAAAACAAGAAGTCGTTGTTGGGGAAGATTATGAGGTTCGACATTGATAACATACCAAGTAAGCGGCCTCTAGAGACATAAACCCTAAACCTTAAACTGTTGAGGGAGAATGTGTAACGAATAACTTGATTGATAGATATTTTTGCATTGAAACTCTAGGTGAAACGGAAATCACGCGACGTGCACTTTGGGGAAACTATTCTATCCCGAGGGACAATCCTTACAGCGAAGATGTTGATTTGTTGCCAGAAATATGGGCATCGGGATTACGCAATCCTTGGCGTTGTAGTTTCGACTCAGAAAGATCATCATACTTCATGTGTGGCGATATAGGCCAGGTATTCTATTTTTCTTATCGTTACAATAAGTTGTTAGAACTATTTAATTTACTTAATCATTTGTTCTTTAAATGAATGGATCACCAGAATGAATACGAAGAGGTGAATTTGATCACGAAAGACGGAAACTATGGTTGGCGGGTTTACGAGGGAACGGACCCTTTTGTGCCTCAAGAGAGCCCGGGAGGGAACACATCGGCGAACTCTATCGATCCGATATATCCGGTGATGGGTTATAGGCATTCTGATGTAAACAAGAATGAAGGTTCTGCTTCTATTACTGGAGGGTATTTCTATAGGTCCCAAACTGATCCATGCATGTATGGAAGGTAAACCAAACCCTATTCTTGGTTTTCCATTCTTTTGAGTTGTGTATTTGGGGGAAAAAAAGGTTAAGATTGCCATCGGTCCCAACGAATCCGCCTCCAAGAATAATAAGATTTCTTTTGGCTTATTCAACAACTGAGGAGGAGCCGGGGAAGGAGGTGGGGTTGAACACGGGAGCTGTCTTGAGTTCCATATTAATTAGATCGTAATTAGGTTTCTGTTTTTCCGAAAAATTATCGGTAAGATTCTAAAGTGAGGTCTCAAGTTTGAATCGGGTTGTTGTCCACGTGCTTCTAGGACATCGTCACTAGAACAAAATGGGTCTTTAGGATGTTCAACCGTCCTAATAGAGTACCAATTGACAAGAACTTACGGTAATACGAACTCGTCTAAATACATTGTAATAAGTTGTTAAGTGAAATTATGCGACCTAACAAGTTCTATTGATAAACTTGGCAACCTAATATTAGTCCTTTTTTTATATCACTTTTGAAAAGTGTCGTATTAGCATTTTTATATATAAGACACTCTTTAAAAGATGTCCCGTAAAAAATGAATGGGACGGTTAATTAATTTTTAAGTCTGATCAGATTGTCCAACTTCATCGATAGAACATGTTAGGTCACTTAACTTTATATTAACAACTTAGTGTAAAACACTTATATAGAAAGCATAGTTGATGATATAACAGTAAAGGGTCATTAGCTACTCTATTATGACGTATGTGTGTCCTAAAAGACCCTTTTTGTGGTAGTGCATGAGAGAAGCAAGGTGGGGGTGCTGCAGAGGGTGTTGTATACTTTTTTAAACAAAATAACATATTTCATTTGTAACTTTACGTATTTACAGGATGCGTCAATTTTTAACCAAGTAGAATACACATATCGACTTGCTGACATTTTACATCTTGTTTTTTCTGCAGTTACTTATATGCAGATCTATTTGCAACTGCAATGTGGGCAGGCACCGAAACCCCAATGAATAGCGGGAATTTCACCTCTAGCAAGATTCCGTTTACTTGCGCCTCAGATTCTCCTATACCATGTAGCATAGTTCCAGGAAGTTCACTTCCGACATTGGGTTACATCTTTTCATTCGCCCAGGATAACAACAAAGACATGTTTCTTCTATCTAGTAGTGGTGTGTACAGGATTGTAGCCCCGAGTCGTTGCAACTATGTATGCGCAATCGGGAAGACGAAGACAGATCCAACTCAGAGTCCAACATTTGCTCCTTCGAGCACGAAGATGTTGAAGGGTTCATGCAAGAATACAATGTTTTTCCTTGTTTCTACTCTTGTGTTGCTCTTCATGGCATCGACTCTTAGCATGTAGTAGAATCTGCTACAGCTGTGGAAGCGAGGCCATAATGGCGGGCCTCTTTTAATGTTCTATTCAAGTACAAACATTCATGTAAGAAATCCGAGTGTTACAATTGACGATTTTTTAATCTATATGACTTACACTTGCCTTTTTTGTTTAGGATACTTCTTTTTGTGACGACATTATTTGTAATTATAGCATCTACATTTCATTTTACTTTTAAAGCTAACCGCGTGAAACCTTGGATTTTGAATGGGACCCAAATATTCCTTATAAATTTAAACCGGTAAAAGGATACTACCACCATACCATACCATACACGTGTCTCTCCAATAAGACTTCAACACATTATATTATCTCTTCCGTACTACCATTACCATCTAATCTAATCATCCTAACTACATTTACATAACCACCCCCTACACTTAATTACGTATTGGTCACAACCTTTACACATGTCCGAAGGACATATGAATGGAAATATATATATACATAGGCCTAATCAAATGAAAACTAATTAGTTTGTGGTAATTGTAAAGTTCGATCTCAACCATAAATTAATAGATAAATTAAAAAATTTATAATTTTGATAATATTGAATTAAAATTTTATTGTTAGGACATTTTAGGTATTTTAAAACTCTCATCTCTCCTCTCTTCTCTCTCTATCCCCCATCATCCGTCATTCGGCCACCGTCCTCTGATGATACCATAGTGGTATCACAATATATCTTATATGTGCTTGGGTATCATACTGAGGTTGTTTGTATGGTCGATTGGAGATGTAATACAATGGTATCACAATGTATCTTATATGTGTTTGGGTATCACACTGTCTTTTGTTTGACAGAGTCAATATTTTTAGTTATCACAGTGGTATGGCCGGAGGACGGGGGACGGAGAGAGAAAATACCTAAAATGTCATTGTATTAAAATTTTTATTTAAAATTACCAAAATTATAAATTTTCTAATTTATCTATTGATTTGTGGCTGAGATTGGATCTCACGGTTACCACAAACTAGTCAGTTCTCTCTTTGAATGAACCATATATATATATATATATATAGAGAGAGAGAGAGAGAGAGAGAGAGAGAGATGGGCAATCAATTGCAAACCACCCTTATTTGTGAAAACCTTACAAATCAATCTCATCAATCAATTTTTTTGATCAATGATCATGATTAAATGTGTTTATATTAGGAAATAAAAACAAAAGTTTAATTTTTAATTAAAAAAAAGCAAAATTGTCAAAATTTTAATTTGTATGATTTTGTAAATAAGGTAACAAGATCGTGGATATCCTAACATTAATGAAACAAAATCATTGTTTTAAAATCTCTATAAGAATATATCCAAGTAAGGAGCAATGAAACTAAGTATATCCTAATAAATTATGAAGCATAAAAACATACTTTAATCAACAAAAAATAATGAAACCTTTTGAATACTAAATGAAATATTTTGTTTCATTAAATGAATGAATAAAATTGTTTCACCGTTTATGTTATGAACTCACGGTTATGAAACTATTTCATTAATAGTTACGATATATGAAACTATTTCATTAACGGCTATTGAAGTGAGATTGGACTCTTAATAATTTCTAATCAAACTAATTTTAAAACAAGGGATATTCTATAAATGATGAAATATATAAAGAATGAAACATTTTTGAAAATTGAATGAAACATTTTGAAAACTGAATACTTTATTTTCTTAAGTGAAACTTTTTCATGCATAAAACGTTTCGAAATATTAATAAATTAAATTCATCAGTGAAATTGTGTTAATGGTCACTATTGACCATGACATTCGTTTCATTACTCAAACTACATATATTTTTTTCAATAAAACGAAATCAGATTTCATATTGTAGTACTTTTACAATTCATATTTTAATAAGTATAACTTAATAAAATAATAAAAACTGTTAATGGTAAAAAAATTATATTAAGAAAAATTGATTTACCACATTTTATATTAAATGTTTCTATTATTATGTTTCCATAATTAAACGTAATTATTATCTTCCAATATTAACCAATATACAATTAAATGACCATTATACCCTTACTTATTAAAATTAAAAAAAAAAACAGAATTTTCCTATTGATAAAAAATGGTTTGCATAGTTTTCATGAATTAGACGGTTTGTAACGTAATCCGTCTTTCTCTCTCTCTCTTTATATATATATATATATATATATATACATGAGATCATGTGAGACCAGCCTCTTTTCGTGAGACCCGTGAGACCAACATTTTACACTTGAAACTTCACAGCAAAATGCTGTAAAGGTAACTTTTTAAAACCTTCACAGTATTTTTGCTGTGAAGGTTCGGCTTTTTTTAAACCTTCACAACATTTTTGCTGTGAAATTTACGTATAAAAATGTGGTCTCACGGGCCTCACGAAAACATGCTGGTATCACGTGAACCCAACCATATATATATATATATATATATATATATATATCTCACATAATGGTGGTACTGGTAAGGTAGGTTAACTCCTACGGTGGCACACATTACAATCGCCGAACGAACTAACGTCGTACTTGGATTGGAAGAGAAACCATGAATCAGGAGGTGGGTGGTCGCAGTCGAAAGCGCAAGAGAAGAAACAATCACCGGAAAATTGAAACCCCTTCAATAAAACAGAACGCCACCGCCGCCGCCGCCGCTAATTCTACTGTCAAGAAAGAACTGCCTTCTACCTCTACTGTTTCTAAAAGTTCCACAAAGCCCTCATCCTTCCTTGAAAAGGTCCATCTTTACTTTCACGCTAGGCATGTTGATATACGTATATATGAATTGTAACACATGAAATTTGATTATTTGTTCGTGTTTTTTTCAGATGAAAGCAAAATTATCAGGGGGCCATTTTCGTATGATTAACGAGAAGCTCTACACCTGCTCGTAAGCCCTAAAAATCCCCCTCTTTTTAGTTCTTTTACAAGGGCATTACTTGCAAATTTCAGTCTGAATGATTATATTTGGGGAAGAACCCTATGCCTCAGAATGTGTAATTGCTGATTAGGTTATAATGTCAGCATTCATCATAGATATGCCCAAATTGATAGTATTTTGATCTATAGAAAATCGTTTTTTTGGTTATGGAGGTGTAATGTGGCTGGCATTGGTTCTTGTGGTTCACACACTTGCTCCTTTGGCTTTGGCCAGAGAAGTCAAAGGTGACCTTTGAATCAAATTTATATGAATTCTCAAGTGAAGTATCTGATAATTCATATGTATGCAGTGGAGATGAAGCCCTCAACTACTTTAAAGAAGACCCTTCGCTGTTTAACATGGTAATATATGTTCTCCCAGATGAATTTTATATGATGTTTTCGACATTTTTCATAGAGGATGTTTTATGACAGCTTTACTAGCTGTTGAATTATGAAAAATAGAAACTTGATTATTAGTTTTCATTAGTATTTGATTTTCAAAGTTTACAGTATTAGTTTTTAACCTTGTGGGCCAGCTCAACATCCTTGGGATTCCTCCCCATAGGTCCCCAGTTCGAGTCTCCTCCTCGGGGCTACCGATCATTATTCTGGCTCTTATCGTCAGGCCCTATGGGATTAGTCGAGATCCGTGCAATCTGGCCTGGACAATGATTACGGGAAAACTTCAATTCAGTAATTATTTTGGGACGTAAAACGTTCTAACTGAACTTGCAAGAACCAAATTAAGACTTCACAACTCCAAGAAACTTGGATAAGTGGATTGCCGACACCCTCTAGTTGAATAACGGGCTTCTTTGATCAGGAACTCGTCTAGTGCAAATATTAGGTTTAGTGGCCGTATGCAACTAATACCTGACTCACCTGGCCAGTATCATACAGGATATCAAGAGCAAATGTCTCGTTGGCCTGAACAGCCTGTTAATATTATCATGAAGTGGCTAAAGGATCGCAGCTCTTCTTTAGTAGTGGCCGATTTTGGTTGTGGTAAGAACATGAAAGACCATTTATATATTTCAATTTTATATTGAATTTAAATGTTTGATCTCCCAAGTGTTCTTTTAGTTAATAATCTACAAGACCCATCACACTTCTGGTTTATAACAGGGGATGCACGGCTTGCAAAGGGTGTAAAGAATAAGGTGTTTTCTATAGATCTTGTTTCAAAAGATCCTTCGGTTATTGCTTGTGACATGTCGAATGTAAGTCTGCTCATCAAAATACATCAAAGCTCTGAAAATTTTATAGATTAGTTATTAACCTGCAAGCTCTAGACCTGGGAAAGCCCCATTAAGCACATGTATAAGCCAAACCAAACCAAACGAGCTCAATATACTTCACTGGGAGGCAGGTTTTTGGGGGTGGGATGTACACAGACCTGACCTCTATCCTCAAAGAGTAGAGCGGTTAGGTCCGTGAAGGACCCCGGTTTGCGAGAAATGTGCGAAATCCATTAACCACATGTGTAAACTTGCAGACACCTCTTGATTCTTCATCAATAGACGTTGCTGTTTTCTGCCTTTCACTGATGGGAACCAACTTCCCAAATTATCTTGAGGAAGCAAACAGAGTACTTAAACCAAGGTATCTGCATAATACCATCTCATACTCATTTCCGCCTCATCAACGTAGCTTCTCTCTTAAGTCATAATTCCATCACAGTGGTTGGCTTTTGATAGCGGAGGTGAAGAGTAGATTTGATCCGAACACAGGAGGAGCAGACCCCGATAGTTTTTGTCAAGCCGTCTGTGAACTAGGGTTTACTTCTGCATCAAAGGTTTGTTCATCTTCTGTGACATATCTGATCATCATCATCATGATGTGAACCCTTGGGTGTAGCTTAACTGGTCAGACATTTTAAGTCCTCTCAGGGCCACTGGAGGTTTTCCCACCTGTTAACTTCAGCTGGCCCCGACACCCAAGGTTATAAAAAGAAGTCAGCATCATATATTCATGTGTCTATGCTAATATATTTGTTGATTGCAGGACTTCTCAAATAAAATGTTCGTACTTCTATATTTCAAGAAAAAGGTTGGACAACTTTGTTTTTTTGATCCACCATTATACCTTTCTTGAATCATTCTCCTAGTAAATGCAGAGTCTTGGTTAATAATAAGATGACAATAACTGATTTAGTAATTCTTTGCAGCCAAAGAACAATTCTAACAAGGAGATTAAATGGCCTGAACTGAAGCCATGCCTGTACAAGCGTCGTTGAGCTCATTACGTGCATTTCTAAGCGATCAAATTATCTGGCATGACGACATACTTGCTTGTTTGTTTGGTGCTTCTGTTTTATCTTAATGATTGTTGACAATATTTATTCACTTTTTTGTGTAGAATTAGTTGTTTACTTTTCTCTATTTATATGACTGAATTGAGGATTGGTCCGTATCTTTCATCGTACATATTAATTTATAAGCCTTTTAGCAGCCTAATCGGCATAAACATTTCTACAACATGAGCATTGAAATCTTATTCTTTAGGGTCATCTATGTGAACTGTGATTAGAATCTAGGTTTCGTGGTTATAGTCACTTGGATAATTGTTGGATTTTGTGTATATTGCAGCTTCCAAATAATACGTTTCGACCCTTGATGCCTTAGGTTTGACGAAATTAGTATTAGCATAATCCAAGAAGTAACTCTAGTTCTTAAGGCACAAAACTCGAGTATGTATACAGTAGATTAACCGTTCTATATATTTACAGGACAGATCGAGAGTTATAGGGTAGTTAGGCAGTTGATAGATAACTATGTTGCAATCACAACTACTTGTGGATAAGATTGAAATTGATAAGAGGCGGGCTCAAAAGCTCTGATGGAACTCTTCTCAGTCAGAAGCTTCTGATGCAGACTAAGAGGCTTCTGACTCTATATTTAGGTTATTGGGTAAGCGCTTACCAGTTATCATTTACTCATTTATCCTTCAAATGAGCATGGTAAGAGCCTAAAATCTTACCTTGTAAGAGGCATCATGAGGAGGGATAATCTCCCAGTAAGTTAGGGAGAAGAGTCTTACCATATGCAATTACCGGATAAAAGACGCTTACCAATAACTCATTTTGATGGCCAAAAATGCTAACTGATAAGGTACAAGGGTGGTGCTCTTGCTGGTACCTCGCACGCGTTTGATAAACGACCTCTTGCTGGTCTACCGGATAAAAGACGCTTACCAATAACTCATTATGGCTGTGATTCACGCAATTGGTCGGCAGACCAGCGCCAGAGACGCAACCCCATGACCCGTCTTATGGCGATCTAAGATGATGGGCAACATTTATGAGTGTGTACTTCGCATCTCCTAACTCGTGTTATGTTTTTTGTGTCACCTAGTCGATCCCTTGTAAATCACAATTACACCAAAATGCTTGATGACACTAAAATCACCAACAAAATTGTACTCATGATTCGTATCATGAAATCTTGAAGAAACTACAGACTACTAGTAACCTCAAAGGTTGTTTGTGATCATTCTGTTTCACCATTTGGTAATAAATAATGGCATGTTGGCAAAACCATTTATGCCATGTTTAGCAAACATAAGAAGCTAACTAACTTACTGAGTTTATTGGAGAACCTTTGTTTGGTAAGCCATAAGGTACCTTATGATACCATTTAAGCTAGATTTATAAAAAGCTATTATGTATAGCTTGTTAGGGTTTTTTTCCAATTTTTTTTAATTATGCTGCTTATATTTTCTTTTTAGGTTATTTATATTGCCATCTATCTTATTAACTCGTTTTTACCAAATGTTACTTGTTTATTAGATAATTTTTTAGGTAATAACTAGCTTATCAGTCAAATAACTAGTCTTGGTGTTAATCCCGTTATCATTCTGTTCCTAGTAACGTCATCCTTCTAAGCCATCTTGTTGAATACTTGAGGGTTCTTTATATTTTTAGCGCACTTTGGCATGGAAAAGAATGATCTTCTCCTAGATATGGTTTTTCGTCTTCATGTTTGTGGGTCCCGTCTTTATTTCCTCCGAAATCAAGTAAATGAGGCGATAACACTTGGTAAGAAACTTTTGCAAAAATGTGATGTTTTTCTTTGCATTGTGAAAATTTTAATTTTATTCGTACCCCATCTGTACGAGTGGTATGTGAGTGATGTGGAGGTATGAAATGTGAGTAGTGTAGGCGAGAAGAGGGTATGAAATGTGATCGGTGTGTGAGTGAGGGGGTATGGACAACAACCCTTGTATTGATAAATTAGAATTAAGTAATTGAACTTTTAGACTATAATGGTCGGGTTTTCTTGTGTGGCAAAAGTACAAAGTCAAGAAGAGCGCAAAAGAAATGAGAGGGAACATGCTTTGTTTCGGTCATTATTTTGGGAAACCATTCCTCACTCTGGGTCTACGACAAGTTCCTATTTTGGGAAAGGGGTAGGCTCAATACACATCTACTTATTGATATCATTCTCGCATATATCAATATCAAAACATTTGTTTTTCATTTTCAATGTATATTTTTGACTTGACTTTTGATATGAGTAGATGTGCATATAGCAACACCTTTTGAAAATTCATTTTTCAAAAACGTTATTTTTAAGTCTATGATACGATGTCTCAAATATTTGGGCCCGTAAATATTAGAGACTTAGACTCCAAAATGGGACTATCGAGATATAGGTCCATTAATTCTTTTACACGTCTTGTTATAGACCTTAAAATGAGGCTAGTTATCCGAAATAGAAACCGAACTAAATATGTTTCAATTACTTGTATTTTTTTTGCCCAAAACAAAAAAAAAAAAGATGATTAAAGCCAAACCTAAAAATGTCGCAAAACCAAATAACTGAAGAAGATCTCGAAGAAACAAGGACGATCTTGATGTTTTGAGACTTAGGGGCCGTTTACAGAACACTTATCCGGTAAACACTTGTCGGGAAATTCAATACTATCATTTATTTATCTGGTTTCAATCAACAAAAACGGCTTCATATGCAACAATTTACCCTGTAAGTGCTGATCGTGGAAAGAGTCGTTACCCTCATTTACCGGATAAGAGTCGCAATCTTTGCCTCGTTCTTGCCGGATAAGATTATTGGTTTTTGTCATATTCATCCAATAAGGTAAGGCAACATGGTAAGTCTTTACCATAGTAAGCATATGGTAAACGACCCCTTAAAGTATGAGATATTTGCAATTAATCGAGTCCAAACCTTGATCTGACATTTACGTGTTTTTGACAAACATGTTTTGGGGAGAAAAAAAATTAAAGCGTTTATAATTAAGGTTTATCCAATTGAATTTGATGTAATATCTACGGTCCTTTTCTCATATAGAGAAAGATACATGCACACTCTTATGCTGTGAAGATGTATAAAAATTCAAATATGCAAATAAAAATTCCCTAAGATGAATCCTAAGAAAACAATGTTTCAAGAAAAAATGCTTATGTAGTCAAGATGTATAAACTTGTAACTGTGAAGTGTAAGGATCTAAGGGGCCGTTTACCTAAAAGCTTACCCGATAAGCGCTTACCAACAGGAGTCAACACTATAATTTATTTATATTCGTAAGATTTTAGTACATCAAAGCATATCAAATGCAACAATTTACTTGGTAAGCACTTACCTGGGTAAGAGTCGTCATCTTCACTTACCTGGGTAAGAGTCGTCATCTTCACTTACCAGGTAAAGACTCTCCATCATTCTCATCGCTCTTACCCGGTAAGATTCTTGGTCCTTCTCTTGTTCATCCGATGAAGAAGTTTATGCGTTAAGCACTTACCAAGTAAGTGTTTAGTAAATTGTCGAGAAGCTAATAACATATAATTTATTATTATTAATTTTCTTTTCCGCTGTTTTCGAATAAAAAGTTCACTTAAATATAATCGTCATTTCTAAAGCTGCATTCAGGTATGTGGCAAAGATTGAGCCCTCATCATCATTATGTTCGATAAAGATTGTAATATTTATATAATAACATACTATCTTGAAACCAACTTTGCTACACCTTAGGGTCTAAAATTGCAATGTGATGCCACAACCTTAGGGTCTAATATTGCAATGTGATGCCACATTTTTTTGTTATGAAACAAAAAAGGGGAAACATATCTTTAATCAAGTCTTATAAACAATTAACTCATGCTCACCTTTGAAAGGGAGCAAGACATTATAAGATGACGGGAAAGACCCGATTTGCCATCGGTTGTGATGGAACACAAAAGTAAGCCACAATCTAATGTTATATATAAACATCACTTAAGAATAAAACTAACATTGATATCAACCTTATCCGGTCTTTAATCAAATGGGTTAACAAGCTCAACTCTATCCAAGTCTTTTGCTTGGGAGTCATCAATATCCAAGTTAAGATCATTCACTAGAATGATAGTCATTACGGACTACTCGGTCATCAAGTTCAACTCTATCTAAGTCTTTACCTTGACACCCCCACTACGGATCACACGGTCATCGAGTTCAACTCTATCCAAGTATTTATCTCGAGTCCTCCGCTGATCCGAGTCTCTAGCTACAATACAGGGAATATTATCCCATTCCAACTGATTCATATGCCTATGGATCCATTGCGTTACAGTCTAAATTACATAACATCAATTGAATGACCGACACACTTGAAACATGTAATTCTCAATAAGTATTCCATAACCGCATATAAAACCCAAAAGCTTAACATAGAGCAAGACAAACTAGATGAATGTCCCAAGACTCATCTGAGTCAAATCGAGCCAAAGGCTCAACAATACAATTGACTTATTCAATAAAAGTTATGAAAAACAATAAAGCGTATTCAACTAACGTTTATGCAAATACATGCTTCAAATGCATCATTAACTCAAAAACACACAATAGTTCGGATATATCATTTTTCAATTAAATCATACCATTTATATTCCCAAAATGTTCCATAACACAATAACATGCGTTTTCCAAATGGTTTATAAAACCAAATACACCAAAGTGCATTTATATCAAAAATCTCGATTTGTGCAATAAATCACCAAAAATTCACATTCTTGAGATTTGTTTATCAAAATATCCGAAAACCCAAATATAGGTATTTCACAAGATTTACTAACCCAAATTTACCAAATACGCAAACTTCATCAAATACTTAACACATTTGATAAACAACAAGTAAAACACTTTAATACTTCAAAATACTCATTTTAGCATGTACATTATTTTCACAAAAGCAACTTGAACTCATCTTGCTAGATTTAGGCTAAATCTACCCCAATCTTGAGCTTCCTTTGGTAAAGAGATGAAATCCTCAAACTACAACTCCAAATCTATGGTGCAAAGCTCTCAAATACAACACTTCATTTTCTTTCAAAACATACACAAAATAGAACCAAAAGAGAATAAGAGTTGTTAGTGCAAAAGGACCAAATCCTAGATTCAAAGGACTAATATATGATCTTACCTTCAACTTCAATGAACTCCAACATCATCAAAGAATCATTAATAATCATT